TCCCGTATTCCCCCATTCCCGCATTCCCCCATTCCCGCATTCCCGTATTCCCATATTCCCGTATTCCCATATTCCCGCATTCCCGTATTCCCATATTCCCGTATTCCCATATTCCCGCATTCCCATATTCCCATATTCCCGCATTCCCGTATTCCCATATTCCCATATTCCCGCATTCCCGTTCCCTATTTTAAAGATAGCCCGCACAATATCTATAAATTTTGAATTCGAATCGCATTCAACGGCGTATATGAATATCAGCGTTTATATAATAGCTATACTATGGTAAATCTTTGTGAGGACAGTGCTTGGATATGAATAATGAACATGAATATTAAATATTTAACAAAATTAAAGCTAAACAGTCGATTCTGTCGAAAGATCAAATCGAAGGAAGAGCGTTGAATTGCTGCCAAGGTCCAGATAATGGTCAAGATAATGCGAATTTCAGGTTGGTAGATTTGTTTGAACGTTTGAAGCGGTCCCAAAAATATTGTTTACATTTTTAAAATACATATCCCTTCTTGTCTGTGTTTTAACTGTGCAACATAGGAATGATCATCACTTCTAGTCTTCAATATAATATTCAGTGGTCATGAACGTGTTTTGACTGAGGCAATGGTTCACACTTCACATTGTTTACAGATACAATAAAAGTATATGGCCCCTGTACATAAGCCCCCATCAAAAAATCTTTACGAACGAATATAAGCCCAGGGCATATGTGTGGAGGTTCACGGTATGCCATTATATATCTGATTCTCACGTGTTCTTTGATTGGCAGTAAAAACTGTAATCATTTTAATGGTGTCTGTTCTTATAGTTTTTTCCATTCTTTTAGATTGATGTAAACCAAATGATATATCACTTTTGCATGCTGTAGTACATCAAACACAAAAGAACCGGGTTTAACCATAGAGGGTTCAGACCACCTGATAAAGGAGATTGACAGTAGCACAGCTATACAAGAAGGTATATAATCAGTACCATGTAATGTTTTGTGAAGATAAACTCTTTTGATGTATTCATCGCTGCTGTGGGATTGGTTTATCTGCATGTTACTGGGTCCAAATGCATTGTCGTGGGAAAATTGCCTAAAGCAATATAGTTATTGGGCAGAAGAAACTCTTCAAACTGAATTTAGTTGTTACTACTGTATATCGTACTGTCTAATGAAGTGACTTTAGTCAATATAGATATATACATATGTTGTTGTTGTATATGTATAATTAATATAGCTAGCTATACTGTACACAGGGCCGCCTAGAGAATTTGCGGGGCCTGAGGCAAACCTTCCCTGGGGGCCCCATGACATTATTTTTAAGCTAGATCCAACTAAACCTTAGCTAGACTGCATGTGGAGGTACTGTAAGTGGCCCTCAATTTCAAAAATGCTCTTTATAGAACCTACAGTACTCAATTTTAGGCTCTTGCTCCAAGTTGGGGCCCTATTATTAAACGTGAGGGCCCAGGGCAATTTGCCCCCCCCCCCTCCCCCTCTTGGTGGCCCTGACTGTACATGTGATTATTTTGATTATAGCTAAAATATAGAATATGCAACCCTATCATAGAATGTGTTATATTTTGAGTGTATACCATATTGCTAACCCATTGAGCTGAATTGTGCCCTACTTTGTTGTTTTACTATCAATATTTAAAACATGGCTTGTTTTGGCAAGACATGACATCCTTTTAGTTTTTCACACATTGAATTTGACAGAATTTCATCTCTGCGATATATCGAAACAATGCCATTTCTTTGATGTATCGAAACCACGGATAGTTTAGAGTTTTCGATAGTTTATACCAGCTGATACTTGTTAGCTGATCGGTTTTTACCAGTTTAAATAAAGAAGTTATTATTATTATTATTAAATGGCATTCTTTCAATATATAGAAGCCATGGATAGTTTAGTTTTCGATATATCGAGGAAATTGCAATCTTTCGATATATTGAGGAAATTGCAATCTTTCGATTTGTCGAAGAAATGGCATTCTTTCGATATATCGAAGAAATGGCATTCTTTCGATATATCGAAGAAATGGCATTCTTTCGATATATCGAAGAAATGGCATTCTTTCGATATATCGAAGAAATGGCATTCTTTCATATATCGAAGAAATGGCATTCTTTCGATATATCGAAGAAATGGCATTCTTTTAATATATTAAAGAAATGGCATTCTTTCGATATATCGAAGAAATGGCATTCTTTCGATATATCGAGGAAATTGAAATCTTTCAATATATCGAAGAAATGACATTCTTTCGATACCGGTATATCGAAGCATTGGATAGTTTAGAGTTTTCGATATATTGGTGGCATGTGCCATGTTCTTGATATATAATTTTCACTGACTGTGGCTGCCTCCAGACATGTTTTGGAACTATAACATTTTCCTCTTTTTTTCCCTTTTATTCACATGCCTTTTACTCACTTTGCTAAAAACAATAAATTTTGCCCAAATTTTTTAGCAGTTTTTTCCTCTTAGAGATTTAGTATCATTTTAGTCATATTTTGCAGCTTGGAAAAGCTAAAATTGTTGCAAAATGTGTATGTTTTTGCTGAATATATTTTCAGTCATTTTTAACATGCATTTGATGTGATTTTCCTATTAAAACATGAAATCTGTCATTGTCCACATTTGCAATTATTCTTATGTTTTTAACCAATTTTTATCATGTTTGAAAAGGAATTGTTGTTTTCATGCAGAATTATTGCATTTATGTATAATTTCTCCACAGTCATGGCTGTATTCATTGCATTTTTTAGTGTTTTCTTTCATTTTTCTCTCAAATTCTGTTAAATAGAATATTGGACCCTATAGTAGCACGTGTTTGGTGCTAAAATATAAAAAATTGTTCGGCGAGAATCGATCCATTACGCATTTGAGGTCTGTGGTTTCTACCACTGTACCACGTGTTCATGAACATACCGCATGCATTGATATGAACTAGTGATCTCAATCAATAAATATTCAACTTAGATGTTTATGCCGTATATTCGGCATAAACATTCAATTTAGATGTTTATGCCGTTGTATATGTTCGGCATAAACATTCAATTTAGATGTTTATGCTGTTGTATATGTTCGGCATAAACTCTCAACTTAGATGTTTATGCCGTTGTATATGTTCGGCATAAACATTCAATTGGATGGTTATGCCGTTGACTGTCTTCGGCATAACCACTCAACTTCGATGTTTATGGCATTGAATATGTTCGGCATAAACATTTGGCTGAAGTAAGTGGGAATATACCGTTTGCTTTCATCCTGGGGAAATATTTTTGGAGAAAAAAAAAGAATTAGTAATTTCCGAATATTTCTTGGTGCTAATAATATAAAAAATTATTCGGCGAGAATCGATCCATTATACGCATTTGAAGTCTGTTGTTTCTACAACTGTACTACGTGTTCATGAACATGCCGCATTGATCTGAACAAGTGATCTCAATGAATAAATATTCAACTTGGATGTTTATGCCGTCGTATATGTTCGGCATAGACATTCAGCTTAGATGTTTATGCCGTAGTATATGTTCGGCATAAACATTTAACTTAGATGTTTATGCCGGTTTATATGTTCGGCATATACATTCAATTTAGATGTTTATGCCGTTGTATATGGGGTTAGGTTAATACGCGGAAGCGGATGCGGAACGGATGCGGAACGGAACGGATATGGGGTTAAAATGCGGAACGGAACGGAAATGCGGAACGGAACGGATATGGGGTTAAAATGCGGAACGGAACGGATATGGGGTTAAAATGCGGAACGGAACGGATATGGGGTTAAAATGCGGAACGGAACGGATGGGGTTAAAATGCGGAACGGATATGGGGTTAAAATCCATCTGGTGGATCGACGGGAAATCTGATTGGTTGATCAGCATCATGAAAGATTTTGATTGGTTGCAAGTTCATATAAACAATGGTTTTAAAAATAGCTCTGTCAAAGCGACAATTAAGCCGGTTAAAGACGAGCAAGTTTTCTTTAAGAATCTTTAAAACCCGGAATGAGAAAAGCCGGAATCTTTAAAACCCGGAATTATTACTGTAATAATTTATTAATTTAATAAAGCCAAGTTTTGGCGGGATTCCTAAACTCCTTTGCGCGTCGTGTCAGATCCTCGAACAAACAAGTAAGCAGTAAAGTAAAGAACCTCAAAAAATTTTGTGCAAGGCTGATATTCTATTATTCTAGAGGAAACACAACCTCGTACCCAGGGCTAGTCGCGAATTGAAGGCGGCGACATAGCCCTGGTAAACGCTGGTCACGTGACTCCAAAATTACGTAATTGTTACTTTTCTCAACCGGGGGGTGAATAGGTGAAACTCGAAGACAAACAGTTTTTATCTCCGAAATTCTTCAATCTTCCTTCTGAATTTTGCACTTCAAGCTTTTCTCAAAGTACGGCGATCGATCAAATGGATCAATACTTTCTGTAGAAAAAACTCAGTGAGATTTGTTCGTATGAGACGTTTAAAAGACACGGATATGTCGCCAAAGACGCTCGATCATTGCACAGGTTTATGGAATAGTACTTTGTTCATTTTGTTGCGACTTATGCAAATTCAACTCTTGTATAATGACTAAAAGTTGGTTTGTAGAGGGACAACTTATACAAAAGATATGAATACATTAGCTTCAAACAGGGACAAGTTCATGGACAATGGACATCCCTAATATATGGACATTGATATTTCACCAATATGTAAATATGACTATTAAATATATAAAAGGATTCCTGTTGTATTACTTGTATATGTATATGTACAAGTGTTGTGCTGTGGTATCTGTGGACTAGAATTTCTGAGGGGGTTGAAAAAGCCGTTTCTGAGGGGTTGTGTGCATCGGCATGACGGCATCCTTTGATCTTTGCATTTTTTCTGAGGGATAAGGCAAAAATTTCTTAATTTCTGGGGGGGTGTTGGTGTCGGCACTTTGATCTTTTTTTCTTAGGGGTTCAAATTTTATTGAACTCGTCCATAGGGGGTGTATACATTAATTAATGGAATGGCCCAATGCACCCAGATGCACCCTACTTTGTTAGTTTACTCTGTCTAACGCCAGACAATTTTACTCGTCAGGTGGAGGGTGCATGGCGCCATTCAATGGGTTAACATAGTCGATGAACATGCCAAATGATCCTTGACCATGGTAGTACATTTTTGCACTTGCTGGATGATATTGCAACGAAGCATTGTTTCAGAGGAAGAGCACTGAGATCATGCTAGGTAGCAATTGGAATCTCACATAGAGCCTGCTCTCACATAAAGCAGGCAAGACCTTCACTCAGAAGCCAGTCCTGATTAATATTAATTCCCCACATAAACACTTGGAAACCAGACTGTCCCATCTGCCATATGCAAGACAAAAAAACATGCAGCCTGGACTTTAACTTAACAACCAAATCAGCATGATAAACAGTGTGATGATTTTTGTTTAGCCCAAACCAAAGCCAGGTTTCTAGAATTAATTTGCAGAATCTTAAGAATTGGACCTCCAACTTGAAGAGCTAGCTGCATGGGCTAACCAAGTTGCATGGGCAACCCTGAATTGATGTGACTAGAGCGAACCTTCAAAAAATAATAGAGAGATCAGATTTGACTTCCACTGCTGCTATTGCTACCATTAACTAGATAAGTTTCATTTATCCAATCAAACAATCGGATGCAACTGCCAGATCAAGTAGTGGTAGTGGAAGTCAAATTTGAACCTTTCTATATGGATTTCAGAGAGACCAGTCATTATTTGCTGATATATTATTATAACTTGTTTAATCAAAAGCTACTATATATTAATTTATGATATTAAAAATTGATATAATATAAGTGAGAATAATTTTAAAAAAATATTCATAACATAAAATGATTCATGCATGCTGGTGATTGAATAAACCATGAAGTGTGCATTCTGAATCTCTACAAATTCCTTGACATTATTTTTCCAGTACAGTGTAAAACTATATAATTTATATATAAATGTGACACAGGTTGCAGGTATTAGGTTGCATGTCCACCAGTGTGCTGAAATACCATCCAGTGACCCGGTCTTGTTCGTTGTTACTTGCATCTTGCTTAATTCAACTGTTTTTGCCCCATTTCTTGTAACCATTAAGTTCTTTTCAATAATCTAGAAAACTTCAAAATCATTCAGTAAATTTAATTTTAAAATTGGGTGAAAGGTAAGAGGTCAATAATAGATGAAGAAATCATTTCTTATTGTTCATACATATGGCCCCATCTCTGTAGGGTATTTATAGAGTAGAAATTTATTGAAGCCTGAAGTCAGAAAATAAATATGGCAACAAGGTTACATGCCATACTGCAGAGTTAGGCAATTTTTTTAAAGATCTCAAGGGCACAAAAGGTATAAATATAGATTGTAGGGGCAAGGGAACAAAATAATGAAATTGTGAGATTCGGGGGCAGGTTTTACAATGGGGTGCAAAAATTTTTCCCTAAAAAATCCCTGACCAGCTGGAGTGCTGAAACTGATGTTTGACTATTGAAATATCCTAGCAGGTTAGGTTCATCAGATTTTAGCTTTGTCAACCTGGCCACTCTGTTATTACAGTAATGGCTCATTTAAATAATTTCAGGTCATTACTGTAAATGTAAATACAAAGTATTTGAAGTTTAATAATACTGCTGTAAAATGTAGTTTAATAATATTGTATTAAAGTGTAAACACGTTTCTCAAGTCTGGCCATGTGTTTCTCAATATTCACAATATTTAACTACAATTGTACAAATTCAACTATATTTAATAAACAAATAATGGGAATCTGCTAAATAATTTGTAACAATGAAATACTTCTAAACATTTTCAAATTCATATATACTGTACCTTTTTATACTTGATGGAAATCATCACAAATAGTATGTACGAGATTGGCTCCATTTTCACTGCTTCGAAATTCAAAACATCGCCTCCTCGGCGATTTACATGATGCGATATAAAAGAAGATTGATGTACATTCGACGTAATATATAAACGTAACATATTAAGAAGAAAGATTACAACAAGAAATAAAAGAATATAAATAATCCGCGGCAATTCAAGATCCATTCGTGAACTTTTCGTCGCCCCCCTGTCTTCATTTCCACAAAGCCCGCTCGCAGGCTAATACTCCAAGAAACTTGGAGT